ACACAGACAACCTCTCGTCAATATGCGTTTTTCGCATTGCATTGCTGCAAAAAACGCATAACAATCTAAGCTTGCAGTAATTTTAGTGTAATCAGAGTGGGAATGATGATCATGGCAGTAGTGAGTGGTAGTAGCTAACAGCAGTAACCTCGAAAGCGAGTGCAGCAAAACGCTTCTTTTTTTGACATTTGTGTTATTGTTTTAAGCAAGAACTTCTCATCTCTTGTGATGTATGTTGCAAAATACGTAATTCTGCTCCTTTTGTGCAGCTGTTTTTGAAAGCAAGCCAGTCTGCCCATCGGTGAAATATGTGGTGGTCATCGAGCCTTTTGCAAGCGAACTGGAGAATTTAGCAGAAGAAGTTGGCGTGACGCTGCTACAATTCTCGGACTTGGAAAAAAGAGGAAAAATTGCTGGAGGCCCGGATTTCGAGGCACGTGCTCAGTTTATATTCAGTAACTTGTTCCATGAAGCACGGAGCTGACCACAAAAACGGGTCTGCACCGTAGTAGTTTGACAACTCTGCTTATTTTGCCATCCTATTTCTTCAAACATGATGCTTTCTAGCAGATATCGTTCATTTTTTCGCATTTTGGATGTTCTGTTGCGTCTTAGTTGGTTTTGAACCTCTTTAATTGTTTTTTAAATTCTTCCAGCTTAATTTCATACCTGTTTTGCTGTAATTTGTGCCTGAGTTTGGGGTCGTTTTAGCGGGTGCTTTTTGAGGAGGGAAGGCGATCGATTTCATCCTTCTTTCTCTTCCTTTGTTCCACCTAAGCTTGCCAGTAGTATTTCGTCATCCATAAAACTGAGAATGAGATTTTGACGACAGCCAATAACTTGTTTAGCTTGCTCTGACAAAGCCTTATTTCAGTTGCCCACGCCAGAAGACTTATGTACGATTGCGTATACATCTGGAACAACTGGGCAACCGAAAGGTGTTATGATAACACATGGGAACGTAATAGCATGCACAACTGCGCTGTATTTTTTGAAGACTGCGACTTTTCAAGTGGACGTAAGCGCCACATGTGCTTTTTATTCTACTACTCCATTTTATTAAATGAGGAAGCCAAATTTGCAGCAGTAGTCCGACAAGTGATGCAATTTCAGGAGGTGATGATCAGTTTCCTGCCTCTGGCACACATGTTTGAAAGGTTGCTCGAGACAGCTGCTTTTATGACTGGAATGAAAGTTGGTTATTATGCGGGTGATGTCAAAGCATTACTTGATGATATCAAGGAACTACAACCCACCGTTGTACCGGCCGTGCCCCGTGTGCTCAATCGCCTCTACGATAAAGTATCTTTTTTGTCTGCTTTAGTACAAGCTCATAACGACTGCCCGCACTTTCGGCGTGTAGTTGCGATGTTATTGAATCGCGCGCTGAATATATTCAGTTTTTTTATTTTTTGAAACTCTCTTATTTATTTCTGGGTCTTAAGCCGTCGCGTCATGTTCTTCTTTTCTTATTAGCTTGATGTAAGAAACAAGCTGATTATTTCAGCTGATTATTACTAGGACATGTGGGATTAAAGTAATAATTAGTGACACGTATTCACGGGCTTGAACCGATCGTTCGGATTTGTCAGTAGGACAGCCAGCTCTTCTCTATGATTCTGTTGATCTGTTTCTGATGATGAAGTGGTACTGCCATCCCCGACATAACTATTCGAACCGTCTTCAGCTTGTTTCTCAAGTATTCCGCACTAAAGAGATTCAAGGTTGTCTTATTTGCCGACAAAGTGCTACTGCTCGATTTGCTCTCAAAGTTCTTGGTCTCTCGTGAAAAACAAAAAACAGCGAGTTTTGCCTTTGTGAAGCTTTACGCTGTCTTAACAAAACATCTCACAGCATTTTCAAATGAGTTTTGGGGCAGACTATTTATAGTGATGGAATAAAAAGCGTTTTTATATACATGCTGTTTTAGGTGAACACGGAGCTGAACAAGTCTTATTTAAAGAAAATGTTATTTTCATTAGCTTTAGCATCAAAACGACTGGATGTGCAGCGGTAAGTTACATATAATTTAATGCTAGCTAGATAGGAGTCGAGTTTTAACACCCAAAACTGAAGGATTTATGGAAATATTTAAAGAAAAACTCCCTCAAAATTCCACTCAGGCATTTCATCGTGGTGTGGGAGTGGCAACGAACTAGGAAGTGTCGAAGCACGGTGAGATACAACCCTGTCAGCTCCAGACATGTCGAGAAGGCATTGTTTAGCCAGATGAACGCGGCACAGTACTAACTGCAGGTATGCAGCTGTATGTGAGCATCCCAGTAACATCACTAACATGAGACACTCACACTGATAGCGAGGGGGGTCTTGGTATTTAGAAGAAAATAAAATGAAGCATTCTAACCGATGTTTCTTTCTTAGTGGGATTCTGCGAAACACCATCTGGGACAAGATGGTATTCAGAAAAATTCGCGAAAGTCTGGGCGGACATGTTAAACTTATGATTACTGGCTCTGCGCCATTGTCCGGTGAAGTTCTCGAATTCATTCGAATTGTTATGGGATGTGTTGTTCTTGAAGGATACGGTCTGTTTTTCAGTATTCGGGCAAAAAATGAGGGGAATCTTAAAAAATGAGCAAAATTTAATGAAAGGAGTGCAAGATTTGGCCAAATACAGGGCAAAATTTCTTGTCGTCCATGGTATTTTGAGCAAAATCTTTATCATACTTTAGCATGTGTTGCTTTTGGTTTAAATGTTTTAATCTGCAACAGCTTCTGTTTTGAGGGCAAACCGAATGTGTTGCCGAATGTACACTGAGCTGTGAAGCTGATGGCACTACGGGTTGTGTTGGAATACCTGTTTATTGCAACAAAATTAAACTTGTTGACGTACCTGAATTGGGCTATTTTGCTAAGGATCAGGTCTTTCATCCAGTCTTTTTGTTCTCGTTGATTTTGATTCCTACCCCGTACACCTTCATTACATTTTGCACTCTTTCAGGTTGGCGAAGTATGTGTTAAAGGATACAATGTTTTCAAAGGGTACCATAAAAATGAGGAATTAACAAAGGAAGCGCTGGATACAGAGGGTTGGTTGCATACAGGTGATATTGGTCGCTGGACGAAACAAGGAACCCTCAAAATTGTTGATCGCAAGAAGCAAATTTTTAAATTGGCACAGGTATAGACGTGGGTTTTTTTTTCAAAAACGATTGAAAAACGGTTACTAAAGGATTTATTTTTAAAAAATAGCTTTTGCTTTCTTCGGCACTTTGGAATATTTTAACTCCTACGTAACTGGTATTGTATGTGGCATATACTGTGTACTATATCTCTCTCGTAGTCATTCGCGTGAAATTTTTTGTTTTATATTGTTTTGTTTTTTTCTTTAGAAAATTTTAATATTCAGGGTGAATACATCGCTCCAGAAAAGGTGGAGGCTATTTATTTGCAGTCAAAGTATGTGGCACAGATTTATTTGCATGGCGAAAGTTTGAAAACTTGCTTGGTTGCTATTGTTGTCCCAAATGCTGAGGTAAATTCAGTCGTTATTATTATTAATTGCACATAATTGGCAATACCATTCAGGTAGTAACAATATTCAGCTGAGACAGAGAGCCTGCAGTGTTTTAGTTGCGACTTTTTTTTTTATCGCTCTTTACTACTAACTTCGTTAATTGTTTAGGAACTGTACGACTTAGCGGACCAGCTACATATGCAGAAGAAATCTTTGCCCGAAATATGCAAAAAAAGCGAAATCAAGAAAGCTGTGCTGAGCAATATGACTGAAACGGCGAAGCTCAAGGGCCTTTGTTCATTTGAACAGGTCAGTTTACCGCTTCCGGTTTTTGTTAGTAAAGTTCACATGATTGTCTTCAAACGTGGATTCTAGAATCTCCGCAGTGAGAGTTTAGTGCCTTTGAAAATTCTTGTACAGTTAACTTTTGCGCAAGTGATACTCATTGTGAGGGAGCCTGGAAAGACTGTTGATGGGCGAGCTGATCGACCACTCAGTGGGCTAAAGAAATGCCAGCGAGGTAACATCCCTACCCGGAAAAGCGGGGCGAAAAAGCAGAGAAATGAATGTTGAGATTATCGGCAAACTGGATGTTGGGTAATGCAACAACATCTGTCGCGGCAACTGCGGAAAATTGGCCGACACATTGCGTGCCAATGTGTTGCTGAGGCTTTTGGTTTACCTTTGTCTTGACGAGATAATGGTACACTTTTATGGCTGTTTTGAGATATACAAATGAAATGGTGTTTCTCATTTGAGCCAAAAAAAGAACATAGTATTCTCTCAGGCGTAACATTCAAGTTTTCATAGTTTTAGGTTAAAGATATTCACTTGTGCGCGGAGCCTTTCTCAGTTGACAACGGCCTCTTGACACCGACACTGAAAAATAAGCGCTCTGTGCTGAAGAAGCATTTCGCAAAGGAGCTGGCTGCACTGTACTCGAAATTGCAATGAGTAGCGGATTTTTTTGTTGAAATTATTTTTTTTTTGTTTTATACTGTCGGTGTTACACATCAGTCCATTGCAGCTTTCATCTTCTGATTAGTTGTTTAGTTGTTTTTGCACTAATATGTATTATTAAAACTTCGTGCCGGGTCGTGGAGTCAGTTTGATAATGAAAAAGAGGTTGCCAGGATCATTTGCGTTTTTGTTGTGAAGTTCTATATATTTTCTGTTGTTCTGTCGTGTCTCACACTTGATCACTCGAAGTTCCTCATCTTGAATTGTCAATCTTAGTCACCTACTCGAAATATCACACTTTTTCATCTGTCGCATTCTATTCCATCTAAGAGAAATGTTTCTGCTTTTGGTGAAAATTCTGCTATTACTGTATAATAACCGCTTGGCTTACTGTAAGGCAGTAATATTGTTCATGAGTTCTCGGAATTATGGTTTTTTCAATTTCAATTATTTGATGGCATGCGATAGATATGATGGAGCACTAAATCAAATCAACTAAAACCAAAATTTTATCATTCCTTCAAATTTTTTTTTTTTTTTT